GCTGAGTACAGAAGTCCCCAGTTAGCATCTGTTACTTGAAGGAAGGAAAGAGACTCTAATCATGAAATTGGTGTCAGAGGTCAGCAGAGCTATGGACAGGGCGCAAGGGGAGAGCGTAGGGCAGCGCACAGTAGGAGTTCAGCATAAGATCAAGTTCTAAACCATGGGAGCCAAAGCAACGTGGGTGGGGCAAGGGTAAAACAAAGTCATCAGCTGAGGGCCCCTCCACAGGTGGGAAAGGAGCCCGGGAGGAGCGAGCAGGAATGCCAGCACTCCTAAGGACCACAGTTCCACCCGGGGATCTGTACAAAGGGCCCGGTAAAGGTAAGCTAGTAACCACCTAGCCAAAAAATGCCCTTTCCAGACGCTCCCTAACAGATCTGGTCTTGCCCAGCTCAAGGGCACCACCCCTGAGCATGAGCCTTTCTTTCATTGCTGCCACCCATTCCAGGCTGGGTTCTAAGGCGTCACACATTCAAACAAAGAGTCCTACCCCTAACTGGCCTCTCAGGACATAGAGGAGCAGGGAAACAAGGAGGCCTCCAGACACTTCTGAGGCTCATGGCCCCATTCACAATTCACAAGTGTCTGTCTGGCACCATTTAGGTGCCCTGCCTGAGGCTGGAACGACAGAGGGAGGGCCAAGACCAAATAAGGACAAGTCACAGCGGTTGGCAGTCTGGTGGACAGGACAAGGCACACACACTGAATTGCCCACTGAGGTAACAGAGGGCAGAAGGAGGTGCAGCTCATCAGGACATGGAATTCATCCTTGTCTTTTACCATCACCTCTCAAAGGTAGGGGTGGGAGACCAAGTCTTCACAGCTCAGGGGAACAGGGTTAGTGGTGATGTATCATAGAAATGTACATTTGAAAACCTATACAATTTTATTACCCCACTAGAGGCCTGGTATATGAATTTGTACATGGGTGGGGGGGTCCCTCGGCCTGGCCAGCAATCAGGCAGATAGGGCCATCTTGCCCAGTCCCAATTGGGATGGGGCCAACTGGCTTGGGGGAGGGACCTCAGGAGGTTAGTCAGCCACAGGAGGTTGGCTGTGGGAGCGCACTGACCACCAGGGGGCAGCTCCTGCATTGAGCGTATGCCCCCTGGTGGTCAGTGCACATCATAATGACCAGTCAACTGGTTATTGGTGGACTGGGCATAATGGTCACTTGGGCTTTTAGATAGATAGATAGATAGATAGATAGATAGATAGATAGATAGATAGATAGATACCGTGTTTCTCCGAAAATAAGACATCCCCTGAAAATAAGACCTAGCGCAACTTTGGGAGAAAAAATTAATATAAGACACTGTCTTATTTTCGGGGAAACAGGGTAGATAGATAGATAAATAGATAGATGGATGTCACCCCAATAAATTTAATTTTAAAACAATGTATCAAGAGCAGAGACATGTTGGGTCTTTTTTAGACCCTCAAACCTTGAAAGGCTGAGCCTAGAACCTGTGTGGGACACGTGGGTATCTTATGGGTATGCATTAGCCTCTATTCAGATGGAAACACTGAAACCAAGTGCTGGTAACCTGTGCCACTCTAAGCCATAACTAGAATAGGGAGAGGAACTCCAGGAGCAAAAAGGGTCTGCCAGAGGAAGGGGCCTCATCACTCAGAGACGAGGCCCAGAGAGGGGAGGGAAGTTATCCAAACGTATATCTAGGACTCTCTCCTGCCAATGTGTTATTTTGAACTTGGATGCCCACACAGTTGGCCTTATGCGGATGCCCAAAAACTGATGGCAGGAGTTTAGGAAATGAGGGTTTAGAGCAAGGTTGGTTTCTTAAATAGAGATGGACACGGCCCAACGGCTCAGAATAGACAAGGCGGGAAACATCAGCTTCCACCAGAGCCAATAAGTAATTAAAACCATTTCCCCTTTCAGAGTCCTCATTACAGAGGTCAAGAAATCAGATCCATTTATCCGGATGGTGTAACTGCAGGATGAAATTTCCTCCCCAGGTTTCCAGATATTTGCAAAGATGGGCGTGCTCAACACGGTCTTCCTGGACTCTTTAGGGAAGAGACAAACATGCAAAAAAGACCCAAACATCAACAGGGCCTTTCCTCCCCGTCTGTGTGGCAAGAGGAGAGGTGTCGGAGCTCAGCAGCGGGGCTGCCAGGATCTGCATCATCCCTTCGAAGAGGACACGGGGGGGGGGGGGGGGGGGGGGGGCTGTGTGTGTGTCCCGCTAAGTACTTCCTTCACTACACAGCTAATCCGATTAGCAGCTTTAGGAAACTCTGCAATGTTCATTCAAGGGCCCCATTCAGAGAGCAGCCTGGCCAATGCCTGCCCAGAACGCCCATGCTTCTCACTGCACGTAAAATGCACGCAGGACTTTCTCTCCCTCAGGAACGCACTCTTGCCTCCTCGCCCCTGTACATCCACAACGCTGCTGCCTCTTCCTCTGGCAGCTCCCACGAGAATTATTTATTTATATTATCGAGCATTTATTATGTGCCAGGCATTTCACACATGCGCTTTCCTTTTGTCCTCAGGACATTATAGTCTCATTTGACAAATGAAGAAACCAAGGCCCAGTTCAAGGATTCAAAGCCAGGCAGTCTGACCCAATAGCCGGCGACTGTGGCCAGTGCTTTGCCCACCCTTCTGGAAGCAAAGCCCTCATGGAGCTCTTTGTCTCCTAGGCCCCTGGGGGATGGTTCTGTCCACCTGCTCCTTCTCCCTCCTCCGCCCATGTTGGCCAGTACCTTCTAGGTGCCGGGAGCTTTGGGGGATCCAAGCTTAATAAGACATAGACTCTACTCTCTCTCAGCTCACGGGGGAGAAGAAAAGAGAAGACAGGCTCTCAGGTTCTTAGACCATAAGGCTGACTATGTCGGCATTGGGCTAGTGCAGCGATTTCCAACCAGTGTGCCAAAAGAGTTTTAAAACATGCACTGCCTGACTACTTAGTCAGGGGCACTAACCTCTTTTCCCTCATATTGCCAAGTAAAAAAATGACAACAGCCGTCCAGTGTAAATGAATCAAAATTACACCAATTTTCTTGTTGTTGTTGGGTCAACAAAAAATATAATAAAACTTTTGGTGTGTCACAGAATTTGAGTAACTAGTTTATGAAATGAAAAAAGGGTGAAAACTGCTAGGGTAGTGCTATGCAGGAGGTGAAGGCAGGATTGCTAGGCTGCCCTTCACTGCAGCAATCCCAGGCAACCTCCCGGACAGCTGGGAATGCAGCTGGCATGGGAGCTAGCTACTCCAGCTCCTCTCCTCGCCAAGCCTGGGCCCCTATGCTGTTTCGCGGCAGGTTCCCCAGGAACAGCCTATGGGCCACTGATCGGGGCCACCCTGAGCATTCCATGATGGTGACGGATGTCAACTGACTGCTGTGCTGGCCCAGGGAGTGAGCAGGTTCCCGAGCCGGAAAGACCAAGACTCAAGAGGTCTCACTGGATCCTACATGGTCACCTCTCCTGCTTTCCAAATCAATGTGTACCCATGCAGAGTGGGAACTGGTACAGCCTCTTTGGAAATCTGCCGGACAGTCGCTACCCAAGGTTAATGTATGCAGCATCTTTGACCCAGCAATTCTGCTCCTAGGTCTGTGCCCAGTAAAAGGGAGGGCTTGTGTCCACCAAAAGAAACATACAGAAATGCCAGAGCATTATTTATCATAGCTGAAAACTGAACTGTCCAGATGTCTGTAAACAGAAGGACACATACACTAGGGTACCTTCATACAACAGACTACCACACGACAATGAAAGAGAACCAACTACTGCTTCACTCAACCATGTGGGGGAATGTCACAGCATAAAGCTGAGTGAAAAAGAAACACAAAGCTACACATGCTACCTGATCCCTTTATGCAGGTAAAAAGAATCTGCAGCATAGAGGTCAGACTAGTGGCTCCTGTGGGGTGGATGCTGGTGGGAAGGGTTATAAAATGTTCCATACCTCAATCTGGGTGGTGGTTACATGGATGTATGTAAAAGCTCATTATATTGTATGCTTGGGATATATGAATTTCACTATTTTTAAGAAATGCAAAAAAAAAAAGTTAAAAATAATTTTAACCACACAAAGATTACTATCGTGTCAACCTCTCTAGACCCCTAGGTAAGAACCTGGGTAAGACTATGCCAGTTGGAGTGGTAGAGTTATGAAAAGATGCTTTCTTCTGTTAGAGCTCAATAAAGGTTGTGTATGTTGCTGTGAAAAATAAAGTTTCTAATACTGTTTGTACACTTAAGATTTATTAAGAGAGTAAATCTCATGTGCTCTTACTACAATAATTTCTAAAAGACTTGAGAAAAAAGGAAAAGAGGGTGGCAGGAAAGGGTCTCAGGGGGTCTTGGGTAGCAGAGACAGTGTAGTATCAGGTTCGTGTGAGTTTTTGTCACCACATAAGCCATCATCAGCCACACCAGCCCATAAGCCCCACAATTCAGCCCCCTAGGCTGCTTCTGGGAAGGTGATTCCACTTAGCTGGGTTATGTGAGCAAAAGGGGCTGGGAGGTAGGGAGCACTCAGAAGATCAGTCCCATTACTATTCACCCTGAAAGGGAGGCCAGAAGGGAGAGTGGAAGACAGAAATCCAAGTCTGAAGCCACCCGTGTTTCCCAGACCCGGGGAACTTCTGCCTGGGTTGTCAGCCATATGTCAGCCATGGGCAAACATTGCCAGTGCTCACCACTAGCGTCACACAGGCCTTAAATGCATCCCATCCTGAACCCTCTCCAGTTGGGAGTGCTGGACCCTGAGGCCAGAGTCCTGAGAACATAACGCTGAGCTCAGGTCTGAACCCACTGAGTCAAGTCTGAACAGGCAGATGAGATTTTCTTAGCGGGCTCAGCACACCTGGTGGCTCCAGCTGCACAGTCTCTGCTTCTCCACAGACAAGTGGGCACGGGCCTAACGGGTCAAACACTGATGGCTTGTGGTCCACATCTACTCCTGGTGAGTCCCTGACCCGCCTTCTGAGGCAGGGCAGGGCGACGACACAGTACTTACCTGTTCCATGTCCTGTTTTCTCCACTGACTGTTTGATCCAGTCTTGGGTCTTGTCAATATGAAATAACTTCAGGTCTTCTTCATCCAGGGCAATGTCTCCCCAAAAGACAGCTGGGAGGATAAGAAAACAAAAACACAAGTAGGTCAATTTAAGCTGGAGGTCAAGAAATGGATTTACTGATGCCCAGAAGGCATTGGGTGTTGGGTAGCAAAACCTAGAAAAGACAGCCCAGCCAATCCAATTTTATCCTGATGCAGGGCTGGTAGGGAAGAAGGAAAGACAAGTAATACCGCTGTGCGTTAAAGCAAACTGTCATAAAGATCAAAGGCCTACGTCTGTAAGGTGTTTTGAAAGGTCACCTATCTTTCTCTAGCTGTAGGCAACTTTGGGCAAAACCACCACAGCAAGGACAGCTGTTTCTCTCTTTTTCAGAGTCCTCGGGATATACATGAAAACCAGAATGTGATAAATAACACTAGAGTTCACACTATTTGCTGTCCTTCCCTGGGGGAGGGTTACACTTCCCTGCCGCACTGAAGTCAGGATGAGCCGCTTTACCTGCTCTGACTAATTAAGCACAGGAGGAAGCTTGGAGAGCCACTACATGATTCTCCGTGTCCTCTTTTCCCTTTTCTACAAGACAAGCAATGTTCCAGATGGGGGCGATTCTATCATTCTGGGTTCTGAAGGAAAGATCGTGTGGAGCAGTGGGTGGCTAATAAGTAGCATGAATGAAAAATATAAAAACTTTTTTTTTTAAATATTCATTGTTGAAAGTATTACACATGTCCCCTTTTTCCCAATAAAAAACTTTTATTTATCATAAGCATTTGAGAATTGGGGCTCTTTGTTACTGGAGTATAACCTCTTCATTCTGACTAATACAGAAATTGTTATCCAAAGTGATATACTGCCGAGACCAGTTTGGCTCAGCGGATAGAGCGTCGGCCTGCGGACTAGAGGGTCCCAGGTTCAAATCCAGTCAAGGGCATGTACCTTGGTTGCGGGCACATCCCCGGGGGGGGGGGGTGTGCAGGAGGCAGCTGATTGATGTTTCTGACACTCTATCTTTCTTCCTGCCTCTCTGTGAAAAATCAATAAAATAAAAAATATATATTTTTTAAAAAAGTGGTATACTACTATAACAAATATATACCCAGTGGGTGTCAAGGAAACTGTTACTATAGGCTGGAAGGAATTGACCTGCACTTATGCAGCGATGAAGTATTTGCCAATACTATTGCCTGCATCGGCTTGGTAGGCACAAGGTGAGCTAAATGAGCTATGGCTTTAAGTGAAGACATTGGAAGTCAGAATGTTAACTTCATACTTTGGTTGCCATTAGCTGTGTTTACATGATCCTACAAGAAAGATAAGGGTTTTTTTGTTTGTTTGTTGAAGGGGTTATTTTATTTTGCATCATATCTCTTAAAAATATTTTTTTATTGATTTTTTTTAGAGACAGAAAGGGAGAGGGCTCACTCCATAACCAACAGAGACTGGATTTATCCCATGGGAGTGACCTCCAGCAGGTATTCATCTCCCCTCATTCCACCTCCACCACTTGGGCCATTTCCTGATTTTCATGTGGACACTTACACCTTGGGCTTACAGGCACTTTATTTCTCAATCAGCTTTGTACTCACAGGCCTGATCACAAATGCTGCATGGAAGAGCAGCTGCAGGAACTGGAACAGCCCAGTTAAAGCAGTATGGCCCCACAGGCATTGCCTGTCCCGGGGAAGAGGGAGCTTGGAGGGCGTGTGTTAACACTGAGCCAGTGACTTTTCCTTTGCTGGCCCTTTCTTCATGCGTTCCATGAGACAGCTGCCGTGTTTTTCAAGCACGGTCCACAAACCACATGTATTAGAGTGTCTAAGGAGGCTGCTGATATGAAGATCCCCAGGCCTCAACTCAGTTTTATGAAATCAGAATCTCTGGGGACAGGGCCCAGAAATAGGCACGTTCCATTCACGCCCCGCCCCTGGCCAGACAACTCATCCACACGGCAGTGTGGAGAGCAGCGGAGCCCACGATCTCTGAGGTCTCCGCGGCTCCTCACCATTTCTGTGAGTGATGGGCAGAGTACCCATCCAGGGCCTGCTGCTTGTCCACCCCAATAACAGGCCACTCAGGAAGGACCTCACTAATGTTCCAGGAGATAGTCACCTAGAGATAAGCTGTGATTATTGGAGGAGCTAAATATGGAGTATCGGAACCAGTGGCATTCCTTTCAGGAAGCAGGCTGAGGTGGGGTGGAGGGGCCCGAGGCCTGGAGAGTCACAGGGAAATCCTACCCAGAGACACACTGAGTTCCCTTTAAGTTTCCAGCAGAGGGATTTAACAGGTTTCAAGCAGTTTTCTGTGAATCTTTGTGAAGGGAGTGTATGTACATACAAACAGGGAGGGGTTCTTTTTTTTTTTTTTTTTTTAGTAAAAAGTTAATCGGCTTAAAGTGTGCAACTAAATAAGCAAAGCTTACATTAAAGTGACCCCACAGAGAAAGGACCCCATGGAAAGAAAGTTCTAGGAAATACAATATGGCCTCTATGTTCTTTTGTAGTTTCACGCCATAAATATTCATGGGGTGGTGTTAATGGGGTCCACCGCTCCCTGCGACCACAATAGTTTTTTTGTTTATCCTCAGGACCATGAACTTTGAAACCATAAACCTAAATTTCAGAACTCCGCATTCAGGCGCATTTACAGAGCAGGAGGAGAGAGTTCAGGCTGGCAGAGGACGGCGGAGAGGAAATGGGGGAGATGTGAATCATGCCTCCTGGATCTTTCCGTGGAGATTAAAGAGGAGAATTTGTTTAGTATGGGAGGCCTTCTGTCTCCAAGGTCTCCAGCTGCTTCAGCCCGGGAAATGGCCTTCACCGGATAGATAGCGTGATCACTCAAGCATTGGGCAGATTGGAGTGGGGAGCTGGAAATATTTTAATTGGATCAAACAGATTTGTTGCATGTTTTACCTTGAAGACTTTAAAAAAAAAAAAAAAAACAACTAATTTGAATCATGGAATTTCTTTTTTTTTTTTTAATATATTTTATTGATTTTTTACAGAGAGAAAGCTAGAGGGATAGAGAGTTAGAAACATTAATGAGAGAGAAACATCGATCAGCTGCCTCCTGCACCCCCCGCCCCCACTGGGGATGTGCCCACAACCAAGGTACATGCCCTTGACCAGAATCGAACCTGGGGCCTTTCAGTCTGCAGGCCAATGCTCTATCCACTGAGCCAAACCAGCTTCGGCAAATCATGGGATTTCTAAGACGGAGAGAATTTAAAAGTCATCTAAGCAATGTCCTTATTTTTCACTTGAGGAAATTGAGGTTCAAGAAGGCTAAGGGACTTGTTCAAAATATCACACTAAGAAACCATGTCTGCTCCTCTAAAGCAGCATTCTTCCCCTACAGCAGGGATGGTAATTATGGACAGCCATGTGCTCCCCTTAGCCCTGTCCCCCAGAGCAGATATCCCTAAGGGATCATGGCCCTGCTGTCCACTGAACCTGGACACAGCCTTCAAATCCATCTCAACACAGTGCTACTGAGCACCAGCACAAATTGATAGGAATGGCAAATGAGTTGGGAACTATCTGCCAGCTATGCCCTACACAATGCTGGCAACATCCATAACACTTTGCCCATTGGTCCCAGCTAAGGATGTTGTACCCAAAACCACTTGAAGTCTGAACTTGGTGTCCAAGAGTAAACACCAGAGACATAGAGGGCCTGAGAAACTATAGGTCAATCAGGACCTAGGAGAGCACCACACACAGATGGGTATGACATTGCAACTCAGCTCAGAAAACCGACTCCACCTCAAGAGAACCCCAGCCCTGACTTCCACCTTGGCTGGCATCATTCTGTTTTACAAATGGCCCAAGGAGGTCTGCCTGGCGGCCACCTTGCTCGAGGCAGAGATGGCCTCCCAACTCGACTCTTCATCTATATCACGATATTGCTGCACCAAGACATTTCAGAGCACGTCACAGCCTGGCTTCCAAACAGGACTTCCTTGGCTTAAGAAATACCTACTCAGCTAATTTAACAGGGAAAAAAAAAAAAAAAAAGGTTATCCACCAGATTGGCATGAGCAATAGGCCATACTTGCAAGCCTATTTAAGTCTTATAGCTCCAGATAGGTTTCCTCTCATGTGCCAACCCCACTAACTTGGTGATGTTTCTGGGAGCACTTCTTGGCCCCGTAGGTAAGAAAGCCATGATCAATAGCCAGGTCTGCTATTGGCATGGAGGAGTGGCAATGAAGTGCCACACGTCGGCCATTTACTAATGTATGTTGTAAAGATCTAAACATGTTTCATCCATGTAAATGAATATGTGTGGCAAGGCCTATGTTATGATTAAAGTTATTCTTTTTTTTTTTTTAATTCTCAATGCAGATGGCAACACATTCTTTTTTTTTTTTTTGTAATATATTTTATTGATTTTTCACAGAGAGGAAGGGAGAGGGATAGAGAATTAGAAACATCGATAGGAGAGGAACATCAACCAGCTGCCTCCTGCACGCCCCCTACCGGTGATGTGCCCACAACCAAGGTACATGCCCTTGACCGGAATCGAACCTGGGACCTTCCAGTCCGCATACCACCGCTCTATCCACTGAGCCAAACAGGTTTCGGCAAAGTTATTCTTTTTATACTCACTCTCCACCCTCTCTGTTCCACTCTGCCCAGGAAGGCTGAGCCTGTGACTACATTCTCTATTTCCCTCTGGCTTCTGCTTGAGTCAACCAGGACGAGACTGGCAGGCCAGAGGGAAGAGGAGAAAGAAAGGCAGGCAATTCTTCCCTGCTTTGGTGCTGTGTCTCCAGCACTGCCCTCAGGAAAGGTTCCAGCTTCTGTGACACTGCTCCCTCCCCGGTCCCTTTCACATAGGGGGTAGCTTGCTGGTCTAGTCTGTTCCCCTTACCCTGCCTCTGTAAGGAGACCCTTCCTTAAGGTTTCTTCCTCTGAAACATCTGGGGTAAAGTGTGCTTCCTGCTGGGACCCTGGCTCCAAGAGCCGTTCTAAGAAACGTCTCCCATTACTTTCATAGCTAAATGGAAAGATGGGATTCAGATGGGTAAAGTGAATGGCTGCTT